TTTTTTTGCAGAATAGTCTTTTTTTGCACAATATGTAACTATAATTATTGTGCTCATCACATGCTTTCATCAATGTTACAGACTTTTCATAGACGCTTTTTTCTTTTTAGTGGTAGTTTTCAGAGCCTTCTCCGTCTTACCGTCATGGACTCGTTTTTTTTTTAAACCTTTTTATCTACATCGACCTCAACCGCCTCTTGTCTGCTATTTTTGGCCTTTGGGTCTATCACCAGATTCGACTCTAATCGAGACACTAGAGCAATCACAGCTAATATTGTCCACACAAAATGCTTGTCGAATGGAAATGAGAACGGAGACTGGAGAGACAATGCAAAGAGTGTACCGGCCGATGCGGGACCGATCGCTCGCACGCCCGAGCCCATTGTCTGGGTCAAACCGTGGACACTTCCCAGTTGAGCTTTGGTTGGAGCTACATTGGTCACCTACACAACACAAGGAGTAGGTTAGATAAAACGGTATTTTACATATTAGTAACTAGGCAGAGGCGCATACCATAGTACCCGTTTACATAGTCGCCCAATTCAATAACTTGTTCCAAACAATATTACTACGCTTTTCCTTCGCCCCCTTCATGTGTCATATACTCATTATACACTTACCAAAATCATAGAGCTAGTAAACGCTGTAACACAGCAAATCCTGTTTCCAAAGACGAATAGTAATAGAAACGGCCATAACCATATGCTTGTTATGGCTCCCTCTTCAATTTTCTTTGCAACAACGTTAACAAATGGTTGGAAGAAATACACTAGCATATATCCACTTAATGCAGTTCTATAACAGTTCAATGTTCCGAATTTTCGCTGCGTTTTGGGATACACGAATAACTGCCAGGTCAAAGTGAATAACCCGGCACAACTCAAAGATATTCCAATTTCTTTAGTGCTAAATCCAAGCCCACCAAACTTGACGGGAGTCGCACACCAGAGGTTGTAGATGCCATCGTACATGATCGTTTGCAGAGCCAAGAACACGTAGCTTAGGACCATTACCAAAACTGGTTTACAGAGAATGTCGCGGAATGATGGATTCTCGGGAGGCGGATCATCTTTAGGTATAAGAGGAGCGCGTTCTTCCTTGTCTGCTGCTTCAGTGCGCTCGAATAGAGTTGATTTTGATTTTTGTTTCTTCTTTGATTCAAGCGTCTGTACAAAATTTACAAGAATGTGAGTACAAAAATTACAAGAATGCGAGTTCAAAAGACCAAACAAAATTTCGAGAATGCCGTAGGATATTCGTTACCTCTTCAAGGAAGAAAAATCCGATTGTGAATCCAAAAAGACAAATCAATGAAGCTACGAAACACGGTAGAAAGTAGGGGTATGTTTTCAGAAAGGGACAATTTCCGAATATTGATGGATACTGCTCGGCAGGCTTTGCGAGGAATCCGCCCAACATTGGACCAATGATTATCCCAATGCCATACATAAACGGCAAAAATGAAAAGGCCGTGGCTAGGGTCAAGAGTTGGTGTGACATGAGTTTAGTTAAATTTGTGAAACTCTTGTTGTCCACATATAGTTGGATGTGACCAAATACGGAGTTTGCTTCATACCTTGATTTGTTTCATCGGTTAGCTCAGCCAACATACTCTTGATGACACCGACATTTCCATTAAGAATTCCGCATAGTGATCGACTCAAGATCGCCCAAGTAAATGAGGTACTGAGACCGAAAAGCAGTGAGCTCGTCATAGTGCCCAAGAGGCCAGTGAGAATGACAGGTCTCCTACCTGCATGCAGATGGTGTTACCTCGGGTTAGTACCAATTTGGTCACTGATAAGAATAATTAATGATAGCGATAAGCAACACAATATTTATCATACCAATTCTGTCGCTTAAGAAGCCCCACGGAAGTCCTATTGTAATTAAATCAATATCATTCAATCAGCAATTGTAAGAACAGCGTAAGCCTCAATATTCTTAATTTGTTCGTATATCTTTTTCTCCTTTACCTGTGAAAAACTGACATAGAGCAAATGAACTTGCTATGTATCCAACAAAGTACCCAATCTTCTTTGGGTCATCTGTTAAGTGGAAATCCTCAACCATCTGTATGAAGCGATATCGAGTAGATAGTAGAATCAGTACAAAAGGGTAATTCGAATGTTCATATAGTCGGAAGTGTACTGACTATTAATTGTATACTTACAAAATATAAGAATGGTAATATATTTGTGAATGCAATTGGTTCCTGATGGGATAGTTAAGAGTGATTGATAGTTGAAACAGCGTTAGAGACGAGTTGACGAAAGTTGATATTACTACGAGTCCCTTAGGTCATTAACCTAACGTGGTATGTCTACTACTATTAACGTTCTGCATCAATTGATCAAAGATATCCTTACCGCAAAACGGCAACAGCACAAGATAAAAAGTTGTTTTCTTGGTAAAGGAGTTATTGGTCGTTGATCCGTTGGCCGTGTCATGATGAGATAAAAAGGTGTTATTCACCAAAGATAAATAAATGCAAGTAATGATGCAAAAATCATCATGAAACTTTTGGGATAGTCCAGTTATTAAATAAGTTTTTCTGCGCCATGTTATGACATTTCTGGTAACAGTGCCACTGTCCCATTGTGGAAAGCCTCGGAGGCTCATGATCTCGAGCAATTATATTCTACCTCGATACAACGTGTTTGATCTGGTGGCTGCAGTTACCCTGATTTTCCGTTAACTGTATATGGCGTAAGGCCGAAAAAAAAACGCAAACGCCATTGAAACATTGCAAACGCCCAGAGGTCTTGTACAACAGATGGACAGTTTGTTTGCATATAATAAGTAAGTAATAGGATTTTCATATTATCCGACCCGGAAGGCTTTTACCGGCTTTGGCAAGATGAGAATTTGGGACTATGGGAAAAAAATATACTATGTCAAGGGCTAATTCAATATAATAGGGTTATTTTAAGTTACTGTTATTAACTTAACTTTAAAAAATGTTTGTTTTTAAGCATTTTCCGAATAATCTTTTGGAGGGTTAAAAAAAATAAACAAACAAAATTCTCATGCCAATTCATGGAAATCATTCAAGCGCTTGCAACTGGAATGTCTATTGCCGGAAGACTTTATTTAATAGAAAACTTGACTCAAAGCCTTAAATTTACCCAAAGACTGAAAATTTTGCTTTATAGACGATAGATGTTATGTTTTGCGATAGTTAAAGTATTGATAATACAATATCAGTTATAGAGAATTTGGGGTGGTGGAATTAACCTATTTTGGAGCAAAAAGGTTCACTATTTGTTGTTACATTACGCGCCACAATTTTGTACACTCGCCACAATATGATGTGTTCTACAAGCTTTTGTCCTACTAATATCAGCCAGAAAAACAATCGCCGGTCTTGGATTCGAGTATTTAACACCAGTACAATATTATGTTTTTTCCATCCATAGTTGAATTGCCTCTGGCTTTTTTCAAAGACTAGAAATTTTTTATTGTAAATGCAACAATGGTCTTTTGTTTGTTGGGTAACTTATGAATTTCAAATACTCATTTATATAATAAAAATTCTGAATTCAACCCAGTTCTTTTGTCATATAATTATTTTTCTCAATCTAGCAAACGTACAGATAACACTGTTAACAATTCTCAAAAGAGAATTCGCTTGTGAATACAAGCAGCTTATTTATTAGAGAAAATTAATAAATTGTTTTTATTGTTAATAATGTTTATTTATTAACAATCGTAAAGTGTTATTATGATAACCGGTAAATTAGCCAAAAAACATGTGCCTTCTCCGACTGGTCGCTCAGTCTAACCGGATTGAATATTAAAAAGGCATTGGTATCAGTCTAGTATAGGTCGATGCTGTATGCTACGCGTTTAGTGTAAAGCGGTAGCTTTATCGAATGTGACGATAGTAAAAATGCATCGTCGAATTAATTTTGCTAAGTAATTTCTTTGTCTTGGAAATGTAAAAAAAATGGCACAACATGAGCATTAGTACATAAATTTATGTCTATTGAAAAAATTTTCTTTAATGATGTTCAATCATTCTTGATGAACGACTTGTAGTGATAATTGGCCATGAACCACTCTGTGTAACGTTTTCTTAGAAATACGAGGGGTACTCCGTCAAATTGGGTATCGACATTAAACCTTTGAGAATTTTGCATCCAATGCATACAAGAGTCAAACAAATAAGCACAAAACAAGGCAAAAGAGAATTACGTATTATGATATACTGTATATGTTATCTGCATCTTAAATGGCTCCATCGAATATGAAGGCGGCTGTATGTTTCTTAATATAGGTTGTGTTTGTGGTTTGCTCAATGGCGATTCGATACGAATTACGTGAGACATTAAAAGCTTTTGCGAGACAAGATCTAAATTTTTAATGGGTCCCAGGCAAAAACATCAGCATATCTGTGGCGCTTGATAATCAATGCCCTGCAAATACACTGTGCATAGTGGACACTTCTGTTATCAATTGTGATACGACCGTATGTATCGGAAAATGGCGTAATAAATACGATCTCTGATTTGTTTAGACAATCATCTTATCATGGTCGTCATCAATTTGACATATGCTGCTGCTTCATGAATAAAAAGGTTATGAGATCCTATTGTTGGCATTAATAGAGATAAACAATAGGCATTCTTCCTATCATTTGATCTACATTGTTGTTATACCTATTTAGGAAGTCGGATCTTTGGTTTACTACATGCAGCACGATCCATACTAAGTGCGCGTTCAGGACCCGAAAAATAGAGACTTGCATCAAAATTCCTTGAAAGGCCAGCGAACAACAACAGAAAGCAAGTTTTCAAAAATCTTAGCCTTTTCGGGAATGAGGGATCTGGAGACCCTGAGGTGTTACTTACTGTACATCCAGGATACAGATAAGGCCAGTGCTGATCACCGTGGCGAATTTAAGGCTATGCTATACGCTAAAGTATTCAAAACTGGGAGAAAGAAGAATGCGTCGATAATGAGTTATTTTGGTTGCAAGTTGCCTAAATTGCACAACTAGAGTACACGTGACGTCTCACACATACGCTAGCAACGTAAGGAAAACAGGGAATAACAATCTTAATAAATAATTTTTACAAATCAATCTCGCTCTTACAGTATTTATTGCTAAAGTTGTCTAGTAAAGATTGTGTGTATCAGATTAAAGTAGAAATTTTGGATAAAGCCTCAATAGAGATAAGAGGGGGGGGTAATTAAAAATGCCAAGCATCATACAGAACGTTTTTGGTATCATTAATTGTCCATTGGTAATATAAATAACTTCCGAAGTAGTCCTCATTTTGCCATTTTGCTATAAATGAATAGTTTTGCATTATGTGTTTCAGAATGTGATACGTTAATAAGCTTAATTTAAGAACGGTGTGACTTTTTTGAGATTCGCTGGTTTTAATGCATCTTATACTTAGTTTACACAAATTGAACAGATGACACTTTTGAATTTCCATCTTCGAAGAACAACCCCATGGGAAAAGGCGATTCAACGTTAGATTGACAAAAAAAAGAGGAATGGAAACGATATCGTATTAGCAATAATAGTGACAGTAAAAAAGATAATTTGCACTAGCACGACCAAAAAATAAGTTATAGTCTTTTACCGACAGAGTTGATGACTATAAAGAATGATTTTTCAATGATAGGTTAATAATGAGTTACGCAAGTTATGGCGCAACTAGCAGAACGAGCATTCTCTCATCACGTTTACGATTGGCACAAATTTACTCACGTGTTTCCATTCCCTACCTCAGTCGATGTACAGTGCATCTTTTATTATTCAAAACAAAGCAGTACGCGAACAAATTAATTATGTTTTCGATAAAGGCGTATGGTATTTGGTGAAATTAAATATTTAAAAATTACTTGTGGTAACGCTGATGGTCAGAATAGGAGAAAAATAATGTTATTATTTGATTTTAAAAAAATTTGCGATTCTTACGGAAGTATCTAGTCAGTTTCGTGGTGCCTGAAAATACTAAATTTAATTGTAATATGTTTAGTTTTACTTATGAAGGAAAAAAAAGATTCGAAACAAGGGATAAAACGGTCAGAGCATGAAATGGAAATAGATGAAAGGCTGAAAAGGCACTGGATGCAACTATGAGGAGAAGAGACAAATGTCTGAAACCGTCTTAATATTAAAGCACAATGCCGAAATAAGCACGTTTATAGATTGGATAATGTGATTGAAAATTGGTTGTTAAATAAAAATCCAGAAATAAGTAGAAGAAATTGTTAGCAACCAAAATATTACTAGCTTTACATTAGAGATTATAAAAACTCAAAAAATATGTAAATCGTATGAGATTAGAATGTAAAGTTTTGCAAATATAAAATAGCCAAAGGACGATGAGCAAGAGTGTAATAACCTGCTCTTGCTATCCTTAAATGGATTCTAATAACGAAACTTTGATTATTTAACTTCTTTGCTTTTCATCCCCCCTCCCCTGTTCATCATACAGTGTGTTACCAAAAAACCAGTCCTCACAAAAATCGCAACTCGACACAATAACTCGGGTGATTCCAAATTTTGGAAAGTTTATAATGTACTTTTATCACGCATAAAATTTATCAATGTTTTTGGCAGAATAGAAGCATTTTTCCTGGTAATTGTCGTATGGACATTGCCCTACTCTCAAATGCTGTTTCATCTGTCAGAAGTAGTTCGGCCCCCAATTGGAAATATTTTGTGTTTCTTGCACTGTTCCGGTGCACACGATGGCACTTATGTAACCTTAGAAGAGCGGCCGGTCATTGGTGTTAAATTGAATCACGAATGTTTGTTTTCCGCAAATATTTGTGTCAATATTGCGAATTATGTTTACGTTTGTTGAAAAAAAGAAACACAGGCGGGTACTCGCTGCCCTGACTGAACGATGTTATGATGAAGAACGACGTCAAGTAAAGCTCTGACGCTCAACAATTGGTCAAGGCTAAGTTAGTGAGAAACTATTGCAACAATACAAAATTAGCAGAACAAGAAATTAACCAATCAAACTTATTGATGTCACTACTCATTATTCATTTTTGTTGCAGTATGCCCCAAATAATAGTAAGATCTAAATGAACCTGTGTATTATTTTGAGCAAAGTGAAACACTGCATCTTTCTGACTCGGCATTATGTTATAATAAACATTAATGATGGCCTTTTGCGATTCTATTCTGACACATCTGGAGTAATTGCTAAACGTGTTGCTTGCTTGGCAATTATTTAGTACAAGTGACTGAAACGTAATCATTCACATGAGAAACATAGAAAATTTCCCAATCATATAATTTGTGATTGTATTTCCAAGTTCCCTATGTTCTGGTGGGTCAATGTTACAAAGCTTAATATTTCAGCTGATTCTTATAATTCGTTCAACTTTTATTTATTTTTTTTCTACTCGACATAATATTACTATAGTTTACAGCATTGGTTAATATCCATCGAGCATATGATGAGATGTATGAGAAAAATATATATCCAAATGATAACAAATAAAATACATCACACATTACACTTAAAATTCAGCCAAGGATCTGAATTTTGCTCTCCGACCTAACGCGCGAATCCATTGGTAACATCCTTAGCGTACTGCTTGGCCTTCTGTTGTTGTCTCCTAAGAATAACCTCCATTCCAGCACCAAATGCATATAAGAATGTAGCAATACCAATAATAACAGCAAATAAAGTGTAATTTGCAAAGAACTGAGAAATGGCATTTCCTCCCTTCGTATTAGCAGTAGTAGTCGTATCAGCCACAGCGCCACTAGATCCTTGAGAATTAGCTAGATTAAACGTCTGCTTAAGAGTGTAATAGGAAGTCTGAGCCGTCGTAACTACCACTGCCTGAATAGTGACGTTACCCTGTGTAGAACCACCTGAACTCCATGACATTACTATTTTACTGGGATCCTTTAGATTACTGTTTTGGTGAGTGAGAGTCGCCTGAGGACTATTATCACAGGATTTAAACTGGAGGCCTTGGGTATTAGCGAACGAACCAATACGCTTTGAGTTTGCATCAACGACGTAGATGAGGATACCCTCAAACTGACTTCCCGAAAGGGAGAAGTCAAAGTTGCCCTTTGTGATGTCTCTTGGTTTGACATTTATTGCGAATCCACTGTATGAAATATATATATGGAAGAATTGACGGGTGAATGCAGGTGATTGAAAAGCGATAAGGTTAGAATGTCTGAATGGAATAAACTGGACATACTAAGCGAAATACTACTCTCAATCAAAACTGGTCTGCGTAAAACAAGACCTTGAAAATCATCACGTTTCGACAGCGTGTGTTATGCACCCATTCTTTCCCTTCCCCTCCCATCAAATATCAAAAGATCACTTTCGATATCATCGTGTCTCATTCTGTTTAACTTACCCAGTCCCCGAGAGTGTCGACGGACCATGTCCACTGGATATCCCGTTCACGTTACAAGTACCAGCACCATTAGGAAAGGCTTGGGATGTGAGCGTTGCAGCAAAAAGAGCACACAGTGCGAGAAGACGGGATGCCGTACTTTTCAAGAACATGTTGTATGGTTTAAATGAATATGATAGTGAAAGTCGAGGATATTGTCTTGTTTATGGAATCGCCAGCGATTCGTATGTGTCAGGTCGAAGTTATTTTAATGACAGTTAGTGGTTAGCTGATAATGGGTATCTTTTTAATGTATGAAAGTCATTTGGGGCTTGGATAATATATTTCAAATTGGAGGCGTTGATTGGCGGTTCTGGAACGTTTCAAAACGGGATAAGAAAGATAATGAACTTTCAATATTAATAATCAGGATCCTTATTATCGTGGTGAAACATGTGACAGGGGTTATGTCAAGTTTTAGTTACTCACCTACATAATAGGCATATTGTTTTTGTTGTTTCATGGAACAACGTATCATATGATTGCCTTATTAGTCATTATCTCATACACTTGGTTCCTGACCCTCACATATAAGCAAAATGCTATTTCATTTTTCGCACTTTTGCTACTGTGTAGACTAAAAGTACGGTCCGGTCCATTCTGTCAGGCGAATTTTTTTTTTCGCTCATTTTGTCTTTCATAATATCATACGAGCTGGGCTCGTCCACTTCTCACAAAAAAGAACATAGTCTTATCCATAAAAAACGCCTTTTTCATTTCTCGCATCTTCAACATACTCTAATCATCAGCTACTCAAGAAAACATTTGTTACGATATCTTTTATCTTATCCAAAAACTCGTCCTTTAGACTCATATTACAATGCAATTAGATCCTACTTTTGCCGGCGGATACTATCTAGCTATATCTTTATTGATTTTTATTATCGTATTGTCTATACGATATCAATCTATTCAAGTATGGCGATACTTTACCAGAAATAAATGGCCTGTTCTCATCGATCTTCCAACAACGTCAAGAGAAAAAGCCGGAAAATTGGCTGCTTACGAATCAAACGGAGTAGGGAGAATGTCCGTGGCAGTAGTACCCGAATCAAACATAATGTATTCCACTGTATCAGTATGGATGCATAAAATCTGGAATTCTGCCTTCCATGTTGTTGGCTTTGAGAGCATGGAATTTAATGAACTTGTTCTCCTACTCCTCTTCATCACTCTTAATTTGATATTTCTCCTACTCCCTTTCGAGAATGGCGTATCCACCGCATCCGACCTCGTCAACCGAGCAGCTCATGTAGCCCTGGCCAACTCTGCATTTGTATTTCCGCTGGCGACTCGCAACTCTGTCTTTGTGACTCTTATTGGAGTGCCGTTCGAACGCATAATCAAGTTTCATAGATGGACCGGTCGCATGATATTTTTCATGATTGCATTACATGGCGGTACTCACATTCAGCAGCAATACTCGGCCACTGAATCGATCAGCAAAGCCTTGTTCGGAGACAATCAATATTTGACTGGCAGTCTCGCATTCCTGTCCATAATAATTATCGTGATCACGTCCCACGCGGTTATCAGGCGGTTCGCATTCGAGGCATTCTGGTGGTCACATTTCACCTTTATCTTCTTTATCATATTCGGAGTTTTGCATAACGAGTGGTTTGCACCATACGTCGCATTCGGAATATCGCTATACGTGGTAGATAGATTGATTCGATTTGTGAAAAGCAATATCAAGAGCATCAAAGTCGTCAACATTGAGCCAATACAGACAGGAGTCACTCGAGTGGTGTTCGAAAGGGATATGCATTACGAAGCAGGACAATATGCGTTCGTCAACTTCCCCAACTTGAATGCTCCCTTGAGCTTGGTAACATGGCACCCGGTATCGCTGTCATCTGCTCCATCAATAGAAGATGATGGCATTCCTTTACACACCGTTCATCTAAAGGCTGCCGGTGGATTTACGAAAATGCTCTACGAGAAAGCACGGAATCAGTCGGGAATGTCTCCTGGTGTACTAAGAATGAAGTTCGATGGACCGTATGGGAAACCATCTTTGGAGTTCTCTGAGCAAAGAACAGTCATGTTGGTGTCTGGTGGTATTGGTGTTACACCTATGATAAGTATATTACGTGACTTGGTGGACAAGCAGTTATCTGGACTACCATTGGCAACGCAGGCAATATACTTTATATGGGTTATACCGGATATCGATTCTTATGCATGGTTCGCATCGGAGCTCCAGGAACTTCTTCATAGGGCATCTGCTCTACCAGACAACAAGTACATAATAGACGTTAAAGTATTCTTGACTAGATCACAGACCACTCCATCATCAATATTCTTCCAGGGAAGACCCAGCTTTGATTTCTTACTAAAGAGTGTAAAAGATTTCCATGGATCAGGTGATATAGCAGTCGGTGTGTGCGGACCAGCTGTTATGATAAAAGAAGTTAAAAACTCGGCAATGGCAAGGAGTGATCGATATGGATTAGTGAATGTACATTCAGAAACTTACGAGTTGTAGGATCTATTATATACGAGTAGTGTTAATTAGGATAACATAAACTCTGTGACGATATCCCGGTCGATATTTGTCTTAATATATTCGTCTTGGTCAGAGAAAGTCTACAATGTTTATTGAATGTCCATTTATGTCTATTGTAAATGCGCTTAAACATATGAAATAATAAAACTAAATAAAAAAATTTTTGATGTATTTTTAATGTACCTATGTGAAGGCGTAATACATTTTGAATATCTCGTGACCACCTATATACACAATATAACGGACTAGTCGGGACCATAGTCTTTTCCACACTTTTGTTATAAATTCCATCCCAGAGAAAAAAGTCCGTTATAATTAGTGTCTGCTATATCGACGGTCCGTTATATCGACGGTCCGTTATATCGACTTTTACTGTGTACTTGTAATAAAAACTAACCACGAAACTTTCTCTCCAAAAATCGCGTATAGCTTTATTGTCGAACAGCGGATTTCATCACTAATACTGGACGAATCACATGATAACATTACATCTTATATTTACATGGTGGAAACGTAGTTATTCCCCACATGTAGTTACCGAAACGGCTTAAAAAGTTTGGTTACAAACGTGTCTAATTAAACCGAGAACACATGATAAAAAGCTAGACTTTCTAATAAATACAAAATTTAAAATATATTTTTAATATGGTCTAAGACCCGATTGACCTCTTTCTTCATTTGTATCTCGCGATGCTTGTAACAAGACTCATTACGGCATTAGCGGCCTACCAGGTCTCTCCACGATAAATGTTCTGTTAATCTGAGCTGATCTAATTAAGTTCGATAGTTATTCCGAAAACATTAGGTAGTCTTTCATACAGAACATTAGAGTAACGCTTTGGGAGGTGTTTGTTCCAATAAAAGAACGATTATAATTACAACCATGTCATTATAAATCGGGTATTAAATAGCCCGGATCTTCAAATTATGGAAACGTTTAAATGTTGTAAACAAAATGGGTTGTCAATGTGATGGCCATAACCAAACTTGGCATTAGGGTTATATTTTTGATATATGTTACTACATCCTAATAGGTTCGACAATTATCAGCATTAGCAAATTTTATTTCACACATGACTGTACTCGTGTTTTTGCGCAAGAACAAAAATTTTACTCGCGTAACAAAAGTTTCTAATTCCGGTAAGAATATGCGTTGATTAGTATATTTTAATTTTTGATAAACCATATAAGGATAACTCACATGAAAAGTTTTTACCAATAACTTGGTAAAGCATACATCCTCAAGCGAAAGAGATTCTTGTTACTGGTTATCACGCTAAACCGAAAATTTCTATATTTATTTTATTTCGTTACCCATAGTAAAATTACAATCGGCAGGTTTCGTATTATAGCACAATCTAATAGAGATTCGCGACTATATTTAATTTCTGTGATCGGCGTCCGAATTTATTATGAATACTTGTGCTGGGAAGTGACATAAACCCATGCATTTTACCAAAATTACCAATAATTACAGCACCACGCAGTACGCGTCTTTGGCATTACAACTTGTATATTCAAATGCACAGCATGGTCCTTTAGCAAGCCATGCTTTGTTGTAAACAGCTTACATTCTGTTAATTTACAAAGCAATATCCGTTTGATTCTATTGCCATGAGGGTAAATCTTTTCTTTTTTTGACAAAAAAAAAAGCTACATTGTTTCACACATGCGTATTTCGAATAACTTAAAAAAGACAAACTCAAATAAGTGATGAGAGACTGCAGTGTTACCTAAATTATCAGGATTTATTATATTAATATGCTAATTACAGATTCTTAATTCGAAATCAAAACTCGCCCAACCTGCTGCATGCTCACGACGGCAATTGTTGATAAAAACACAACTGAAGCAACAAATTTCTACTAAATAATATTTGCCGTGTCTATTCCTATTAATAAAGTTTTTGAAAAAAGAAAAAACACAACAATTTCTTACGTATACGAGAAACGAATAAAGGCAGGGCTACGATAGTCTCTTATTTTTGATTGGTAGTTTGTAACCATCTTTCTAACGCTGACTAATATATAATGTGAGAACAGGATACTTACTTGGTATCTTACTTGTATCCGTACTCTTGCAAATGTTGCATTTAACTCTAAAAATAATTGCACAGCGGCAGTAGTGCGTACACAATTTAAAAATAAACAAATAAAAAATCCAATAGCATATTGTTCTGGAAGGTATATCGTTACAAGACACTAATTCTTAAAGACTTATTTGAACATACTACAAAACAGGTTAATGGTCTTTGGATATTGCAGTGCACATAAATAAAATTTTGTTACATAGTATGTAGTTTTCTATCATTTGTTGCATGAATTGTATAATCCACGGGACCAGTAAAAGTTCCTGTATACAATGGATCGAAAGTCGGGTGTCAATACGACTACCATATTCATCAAGAAAAAAAAAACTTGATATGCAAATTAATTTTTATACGAGTATATTTAATTTTGCAAAAAACTTAAAACAATCTTTTCTCATTTCATAATGCACGATTTATTTATTTGTCTAGTAGAGATAATCAAGTAGTTGTATAGTATTCATTCTCGTTACAACCGACGGGGATTACTAATAGCAAAATTTTCATGCACTTTGAATAGTCATCAAACGCTTACAGAAACCAAACCGTTTTAGAAGTAAAGTTTGAATTGGTAAGCAAAGACAAGGAACAACCTGCTCACGGCAGCATTACATATTCCGTGGTTTCAAACTAAAAAAAGAGTCTGAAACACTTTATTCAAACTTTAATCGAAAATTCATGTGATCTAATCGATTGTTACGTATGATGCCCTGTATAGGAAACTTTTGGGATGCAGAACACCGAAAATGGTCCAGTTACTGGGCGTGTTACACACATTACGACTCGCGCTGCTATCTGTTGTAAACGATCTGCCAATACAAACTTTGATGCATCAAACAGATGCACGGGATTACACAGATAACAGTATCGTCTCCAGTATTTTGGAACACAAATAACCAAAAGTGTTCGCTCTCTACGAGAATAAATGAAGATCCTTACTATTAAAAAAGGAAACCCATATAAAAATATAACCGCATATAGTATACAGTAATACGAACATACGTATTTGGAAGATAAGTCTTTCAAAAAAAAAAAAAAAAAAAAAGAGTCGAATTGCAGTTGGTCTTTACTCCTTTGGTATCGCACTAATCAATATTGCAATGCTGCTGGTACGTGACAAGCTTTAAAAAGCGGGTTGACAGTTTTTTTTGCAAAGCTACGATTCTAACAAAAAATACCACTCATAAAAATATGCGTTGCTCAGGGGCGGTTAACTTAAAATAGAAGTTGTACAATGCAAAAAAATTTTTTTTTTTTACTATAGAGAAACGCCGAAATGCAGGTGCAGGCCTTGTGATAATGTTGTTACTGCACATACTGAATATGTGTTATAAGTAATGGAAAACCTGTATTTATCAATTAATCTGTGTAACCAATTTTGGTTTACTATTACTATGGCAGATATTAATATTGCAATTTGTGATAATGCTAAATTTCCTATTTTGTCGTAGACATTCCTCGAACGTCAGATTCATCAGTGCGGACATTTTGTCCGAAATCGCGGCTTGTTAACAGATTTCTTTTCCCTCTTCTCTTGTACTGCAGCGAGTATCTCTTTTTTAATCAACCGTTTCAGCGACTTTTTCAGTTTACAAAATTATAAATTCAAATCATTGGATAAATAATTGCATAAATGATAAATATTTGTCTCTCAACATGAAAGTTGTTTGTACAAGCCGATTGAAAGGGTTTTGTCCGACTTGCAGGTTTATCGTAATTTACATGAGTCTTGTCGATTTTTTAAAATTGTCCGAGTTAAGCTTATCGAATGCCTGGCGTATTAATGTGAATTGCAACACGAGAAATGTAATTGACGGTTAGCCAATATTAATATTTTTGTCAATATAACAAGCACAGCCCAACCGTTTCAAAGCCAGTAAAAGAGAATTCTTGGCTTGTATTTCTTTCACCTCGCAGTAAGTTTCGCCTGTGTAATAGTGTTTATTTTATTTCTAAATTGGTGATGGTTTGAACATTGTGACTAAAACATTAGGATAACTAAACAAAATTGTGGTTAATTCAAATCTGGTGTCAATACTAATAAGTATGTGATAACTAACTGTTATTCGCTCCGTAATGATTTCGGGTTATACGTAATACATTAGCACTTTACGTTGCCTTGTGGGTTGAAGTGTTGTACATGGGATTCTGCTAACCATCAATAAATGTGATCGAATGGCCATCAAAATATGCCAATTTGGGGAATTGATGGTCGATCTGTGTACAGTATAATTAATTACAATAAACGCATTCATAAGGCATTCATAAAGCATAATTCACTTGTTCTTATGCAAATATAGATATCAAAATCAGTTGAGATCATGATTATCGCTAAATTTGTATTTATAAAATGGAACTTACCAAAATGGTGACATTTGCTCGAAATTGAGATTGTACAATCGCGGAATGCTTCCTACTATTAGAAAGTTCTAGTCAACGTTCTTGGTTTTTTGACATCAGTCCCACTCTGAATCTTTCTCATTTACAAAAAGCTGATTCCTTTTCCGGGATGACAAATACCAGTACTAGTTTGTAATGTTCGCGGCGAAACAAACACCTCAGCACCAAACGACGACTCATTTAACTTGCGATCATTATCTTTGTTGGATATTACTGTAGTCTTGGTATTTGTTTACTTATTCGGATAATCGCTGAATTGTTTATATATCCGGTTAAATGAAAAGAGGATGGGGGAAAAAACCAAGTCTTTCATGAGACGATAAGAATATGGCGGTTAAAATGATAAAATTCGTCAGTACAAATAAACCTAACTCGCATACGGCAGACGGCAGACGGTAGCATGGTCAATACGTTTTCGAGTGCTGACATGAAATTAATATTAAAAAGGGCAGAATTATAAAAAGAGTTAGAATTAAAGGGTGTGATAACTTTTAGTGTGGTAATTTCCAATAATAATAATAAGCATAAATAATTGCGGATATTTGATTTTTTCTGCCAATTCGAGGTTGGTACCAAGTTGGGGAAACTATTCACAGAGCTTTTACCTGTATGTCAATGAAACACAGTAAAATCCCATTAGATGGATGTGGTGCGCTTATTATTATTGTTATTGTGTGACTATACGAGATTTGATATTTACAGAGAAAGCCTTTGACTGTACCATTTACCATTCCCCAAAGATGCTTGGTCATCAAGTTTGTTCATTTTCTCTTTCTCTTTCCGTTTCCACACACCCACTCATCCATTGAATCGCTTTATCCGGGTCGTTCCATCCAAATCAAGCCTATTTTGTCCATTAGCGTTACGTTTATATTTAGCACCAAAATGCAAACATTTTAAAAAAATTCCATAATCGTACACCCAAAAACACAATTCCTGGAAGGGGTTGTCAGAAAAAAAAACTTGCAATTTTGACCAACTGCACGCACTACAACTTTAATTGTCAAACGTCTATACATAGTCATCAACACTTAAGCAAAAAGTGCCTATTCTCTGACTTTTTTACCATAATATAAATGAGCACAACCCAAAAACCACCCCCTCGTCCCTCCCACTCCGTCCTACCAAACTCGCCCTCTCCTGCAAGACCTCCGCCAACCAATTTCAAGTCAAACTACTATTCTCCAACTTCTTCTCAACAAGATACTCTGGTTCCTCAACGCTCGGCCCCTCCTCCGCCTAAAAATAATTATCAACGTGGCCAAGCGAGTCTAAAAATGAGTTCTACATCATCGAATAATTCAAATGGAAGGAGTACGCAATCTTTGAAAGGACAGCCATCGGGTCAGGGTAGTGGAGCCTACAGGAAGGGTCCCCCTAAATCCAATAAAGCTCCACAGGCAATCTCTACTTCCGTTGCAAAAAGTCCGTCTAGCACTAAGAACGGTAGTGGGGATAGTTACTTTTCACCTAGTTCTCCAAACTTCAATTCCGCTGGGTACAATAACTCACTTAAAGGCGCTCCTGCTATTAACGTGCATGGTGAACCTATACAGTCACCTACCGATAGAGAGAATGGGAGTGGAAGATCCTTCAAGGGTGTTCTTAATAATTTTGTTAATCAAATGCAAGGTGAGGACATGTGTTTCTTAGACAGTCAGAGCGATGAATTCAGTAGAGTGTTCGTGCCCTAACGTGAATGCGGTAACAATTGTGGCGATATTCGCAATATGTTTATCACAACGTGACTGTGTTTACTGTGACTCTCTGTTAGTCCGCTTGCAATTAGTACTTTGCAAAAGACATTCTTTAAATATTCCCCAGTTCAATTTACTACATTATTTGCTAATCAATGAATTTACTTACAGACTTCTTGGGACCCCCAAAGAGAGTTGAGATTTCGTCCCCGTTTGATCCAGTTCATTTGACTCATGTCGGGTTTAATCAAGACACGGGAGAATTCACGGTGAGATTTTCTAAGACAACATGTGAATCGAGAGAATATGGGTTAGAGATTTTACATTGTTGAAGAGTAGTTTAAAGCGTGGGTGCGGTTAATACGATACAGTAGTTACATATATTTACGACCAACCGTCTGTTATTAATAGGGTTTACCTCAAGAGTGGCAGCAGCTGTTACAAGATTCAGGTATCACTAAACAAGATCAAGAAGCAAATCCTCAGGTATTGTTATTCGTATTCACCGGCCGTCTTGCTAGATTTTCGACGTCTCATTTAACCAATTCTGCTTCTATTCAGGCTGTGTTGGATATTGTCGGGTTTTATCAAGATATTACGGGCAATACAAATCCAAGTTTGATCTGGGAAAAATTCAATAATGCTAAATTGAACAAGACGCAACCTAAAACACCAACAAGCGTACCAAGATCACCACCGCCGCATACTGACAAGGCATTTGAAAATCCCGTAAGTAAAGAATGAAGCAATACTAGAAATTGGGTTGTTCCCCAGAAAATGGCAACGGAAAAAAAAAGGAACTGGAAAAAGAATACTAAAAAGGTTACACTGAAAAGACACAAAAAAGAAATATAAGAGACTATTGAACTAACCACGAGCATCTGTTGTTTGGCTGGGCATTTCGTATATCAGCGAATAGCTCCATCGCCACCGGAACCAAAGAAGAAATCCACACCTCCTGTACCAGCAAGACCGGCAAACCCGCCATCACCAGCGGTGAGTGTACAAACAACGCACGTCCAATTGAGATCGAATTTTGTGAATCGGTTTAATTTTTGTTTGGAACGTTCCGACGATAACAGAACATCTTACATCTTGTAGGAGCTGAGAAATAGACCAACATCGCCGTCATCACCATCATCGGCTCAAAAATATCCAAAGAGTATGCTTTATGTTTTATTTTCACATTCAGTTTTACATATTTTTGTTCACAGCAAATCACTCACTATTTACTTTCTTCTTTTATTTCCCTCTAGAAACATCACAAGACCCTCCAAGGCTTCCGCCAATAAATCCTCTGCCACCGCTCGACAGTCGTCCCTCGCCAACGCCACCTCCCAAACCATACAAACAACCACCGCGCCCCAAGGACCAATCTCCTGTTCCCCCACCAGTAAAACCAATTCCGCCAGCGAAACCAACTCCACCAGCACTTCAACCCGCACAAAAGCCAACCGTACAAAAGCCAACCGCACATGCACCGAGTGCTCGCCGAAGGGAACAGAAACCAAAATCAAAAGAATCATCAGCGGATATCATAGAGCGCTTAAAAGCCATCTGTACCGATGCAGATCCAACCAAGATGTATAGGAATCTGGTCAAAATCGGTCAGGGTGCATCAGGTGGAGTTTACACGGCATATCAAGTGGGAACGAATTTGTCTGTGGCTATAAAACAGATGAACTTGGAACAACAGCCAAAGAAAGACTTGATTATCAATGAGATTTTGGTTATGAAAGAGAGTAAGCATAGGAATATTGTCAACTACATTGACAGTTTCTTATGGAAAGGCGATTTATGGGTTGTTATGGAGTACATGGAAGGTGGAAGTTTGACAGATGTCGTGACGAGTAACATAATGACAGAGGGACAGATTGCTGCTGTCAGTAGAGAGGTAAGTGAACCGGGTGGAATTATGAAAACGGGTGAAACATCTAAGGGCGAGGCAAAATTGTGTATGAACAAGAGTCTTGTGAAAGACTGCTAGAAAAAAGATGAGAATATGAATTGGCGAACAATGGCGAGGGTAATATATAATCGTTATTCTAATTTTTTAACGTACCATAGACTTTAGAAGGACTCGCCCATCTGCATTCTAAAGGCGTCATTCACAGAGACATTAAAAGTGATAACGTACTTCTTGCCCTTAATGGCGACATCAAGCTCAGTACGTATCGAATCCGTTTTTCTTTCCATTTTCCCTTTATGCTTCTGTTCTTCTCACTCGCCATAATAATTCTCATTGATTTTCACAGCTGATTTTGGTTTCTGTGCCCAAATCAACGAAATCCAAAGTAAACGTACTACAATGGTTGGCACGCCGTATTGGATGGCACCAGAGGTAGTAACACGTAAAGAATATGGACCTAAAGTAGACATTTGGTCACTTGGTATCATGGCAATAGAAATGATTGAAGGCGAACCACCGTATTTGAACGAGAATCCGCTTAGAGTAAGTTATTGAGAATTGTCTAAGAGATGGCATTATGTCTCTGATTATCCAGTTTACGTTTTACGTCGAATATATCGGTTCACTCGTTCGAATGATTATTCACTAATGTCTTGCCAAATCTACAGGCTCTGTACCTCATTGCCACAAATGGAACGCCACAATTACATCATCCGGAGAGTTTATCTCCCGTGTTCCGCGATTTCTTGGCCAAATCGCTGGAAGTTGACGCCGAGAAGCGGCCGACGGCTGTAGAGTTGTTGAAGGTGAGTTGAAAAAAAAAGCTTTAATAAAGATTGCCATTTGAGACTATAATTGTAAACGCGCGTTTTTTTCTCATTTACTCTTCAACTAACATGTGATTTCTATCCAACTTGTAAAGCATCCTTTCCTTCAAAAATCAGAACCACTCCGTTCGCTAGCACCATTGATTAAGGCTGCTCGTGAGAATGCTAAGAGAGGATGATAGAAGTTTTCTGTCAGAAGATTGCTTTATTTTGTAAGGTATTCAAGATCAATATTTCTTATAATGTCAATATGATGCGTCGATGGAGGACGCCTTAATAATTGGAATAGATAGGATCGCTCGGGGGGTGACAAATTATAGATTGGAATGCAGGGGAACAAAGAAACGAGAAGGTGAAACAAATACGTTTTTTGTTATCTGAGACCGATAATGAGCGGTTGTGCGATCTTGTCATTTATATTATTTGAAAAGACAATCTGTATATGTTATTTCATTTTCCATTGCTTAGACTTATTCTTGCTATTTGCTTGTATTGTTAATAGCGGGACTACCGATAATGTTCACTATATTGTCGATGATATTTGATGTATTGTATTTTGATATATTATTTCCGGTTAGGCGTCATTTTTTTAGTCGTTCTAGGATGAACCCACATCTCCTTTGTATATCGTTAGCAATTCCTTTTTTTTTTATTCGTCCCTTACATTTATTATAAAATCAATTTATCTTTGTGCATAGTACAAACTCTCTTATTTAAGAGGAATTTATGTAGGGCAAAAGTTTAGCCTGGAGTTGGAAATTCATAGACGAAACTTTCATTTTTCATGTAGATTTTATTTCCCATAACTTGACGAATAGTTGATACACTTGTACGTTAAGATCACGTGTGCTTATGAGATTTTTGTCAAGTTTCTAATGAGGATTGACCGAGAGTTGCCAACCTAATCAGAAATCTATAAAAAAAAAAGAAATCAATAATTTAATAAGGTAATGTCAAACAAAGCTTAATCAATCCAGTAGGAGAAAATAAGTCAAAGGGCACTTTGATCTTTATAGCAACTAGCTTTATGTAATGCAGTTTACAAACCAGATGTGGACTGTTTCTTCTCGCGATGTAACTAAGCTGCACTCTTAGTACACACTCGGAGGCTTGTTTGCATTTGTGTATACTGAGTAATAGATAATGTGCATACTACATTTGTTTTCACACACTGTTTATCTTAAAATTATTTATTATTTATATATCTAAACACATAATATACATAATTTTTTTATAAACTAAGTCTCCTATTATGTTCTCGTGCAGCCGCCACTTGACTTTGCCTCTTTTCTCTATTTGTCTTTGGAGTTGATAGATCGTCATAATCTAGATCGCCCGACCCATCATGCCCGTATACGGTTAACACGTAAAGACCGTTCATCAGATTTCTGATACATATTCCCATATTTACAATGGTAGCTAGTGTTAAACAAAACACGACCGCCAGGAAGAGAGTAAGGAATCTGCGGGTGTATAGATATGGATCGGGGATACGATGAGCATGCATATTGACATCAACGATGCGGTAAAGAAAATATGCTACGCTCAGGATTAAGATTCCAATAACCGACAATAAACAGTATTTCTGTTCTTTGGCTGTCCCAACCCAGGCGATAATGAACGCAATTGTCCCAACAACAAAAACGCATATTGTCTCTGTCATTGTTTTCGAGTAGCCCAGCTTTTCCGACGGTATCAACTGAATAGCGTAAGTTCCAACGAAGAATATATTCATCTTAATTAGCGTCATTAATAACGTTATTTCGACGAATGCTTTCCGTACGCTCGGGTCGCCACTGTATGTTTGATAATTCTTCCATCCAAACTCGATTACCAAATATCTCGTTAATATTCCTAATACGACGCTGCATGCTACTACGATTCCGATGATTATATATTCCAAAGGTCTCATCCTCCCTTCAAAGAAAATTTTTGCATCATCAGAACTACGGAATCTGTTGGGGTCTACGGGCGACCAGGTTGCGTCTTTTGTGCCTTGATCTTCCAGTATAATGTGTTGATAGGTTTGAACACCGGCATACGATAGAGTGATAAAATTCAGAATAGCGAGAGCGACCAACTGGATAGTGTTGCGATTGAATAGTGCGTCCACACATATGATTAACTGAAATGCTTGTGCGAGAATGAATCTGGATAAGAGAACAACAACGGATATTAGGGAGGAGAGTTAGGGAACGGTAAAAAGTAACAAGGAAAATGTGTTTTCCATCATTACATATTCATTGACCTACATTGCATGATATATTAAATCCGACTCGCTGATTCCTTGTCCAGTCTCATCGAGTGCATAGTTGTTGACGAAGGACACATGAAAATATACAACCAGACATTCCAACGTCGTCAGCACAATTGCCTGCACCAAATATATGGCAAGCACAGTTTTCCCCAACTTTGATAAGCGTGTCATTGTCATTCTGTTCAGTAAGCGCACACAACCGCGCTCGAAATTTGGAAATATTCAAAAAGTGAACGGCGAGAAATTATGTTCTGATACGCCCTGATTTTATTGCTTTGCTTATAAACAACGGATTAGCTATTTTTAGAAATTGTAGTTCCTACTGCCACATTCAGCACAAAATAAGGGTGGATTTACATCTGATAAAATTTTTTAATGATAACGATAATAATAATGGCAAATTTTTTACCGGCCCAGACAATATGTGGTACGTGAAAACCAATATTATCATTATGCAGATTGAGGCTATGTTAAGGTCGGTGTATGATAAATTATCGCGGAAACGGGAAATTGTTTTGTATGACACCCGGTGGATCTATTTTTGTGGACTCGGGTTTCGATGGCCAAGAAAAACTGCGCAATGAGCTTGGTGACACATGTTTATGTATATGGTGAAAGAATGAAATTGCCTATACAAGCACCGAGTGTTCGATAATCATGTAGCGGGTAAATGCGGGGAAGCTTCGTATCGAACGTTCCTAAGATGCACAGGCGATGAAAAGTACACATGTTCTGATAAATAATACTGTAGTATTTGTCATTTATTATTCAATAATAATAATAATGAATGTCTCGTGAACGTGAGTCTTGACCGTAATTGGGAAATTAACAATTTCGAGCGTCCTTGTAAGGCCAGGTTTGACATGGTTTGACATATAATTCTGTTGCACATGATGTATTTCAACTGTGCATACTTGCTCTTTTTTGCTTTCTTTTCAATTTATAATGAGTAATCATTTAGACTGCAATTGTATTGAATGCTGTTATTTGTTACACAACTGATGAGTCTGATAATGATCACTGACTAATTTATTGATGTGCTTATTGCCCGCAGCACAACAAAGTGATATTTAGTTCAGTCTCCGGAGCGAGACGAGTCTTTAAAGTATGCAGTAAATTAGAAATAGTGTTAGGGGAAGGCGAAAAATTTATCCGGGACCATACTGTTTTAATCTCGCAGGCGGTCCAGACATGCACGCATGTAGGGGGGCTATCAGTTGCTAAAAATAAGGTTAGACCCTGCGTCTTGTGATAATGAAATGGTAGGTCAGAATTCGTTTTTCGAGGCATGCTCAATAGATGTTATATTTAGTATGATGTATCCCATTTGTGAATAAATGGGTACTTTTGCATTGATTATCAATGCTGTTATGATTTACTGTTTCACAACACTTTGTTTACGTAATCTAACTGCAAACGGTTAGTTTTGGGGTTTTTGTTTAAGGATTGAATGATTTTAGAATAATGCTTGTTTGTTCATCCATTTAGACAACACATGTTGGCATATGGGCAAAGAGTCAAATCATTATTCTAGAAAGGCAGTTTCTTGATGCGAGTATTACGCCACACTAAACATTTATACAAAAAAGGCGGGCTGTGGGAATCAATTTACTTTCTTAAAAATGGCCATGTGGTACAATTATTGCTGTAGTTCGGTGAATTGCTCACGAAGAAAGACCCCCGAACCGAATTGATTCGGTTGTTTACGAACCGTTTACTATTAAATTTATTATTATGCTAATACCGCAAGATAAAAACGTGACCGCAGCAGCATCCGCAGTTTTTTGCAAACATAATTTCAGAAAAGTAAAATTTCCCCCGAATAATAATTACATTGCCGTCATGATTTATTATTCTGGTGCAAAAACATACTTTATCTTTTTATTATTGATGGTATATACGACAGTATGTCAACCTTTGTGTCACGTTATTGTACATATTAATATTCTTTTAGTCTCTTTGTTCTTCAGAGACAGGTTTATTGTTGTAATAGTCTTTTGCCAATTATCGTTTAAACATTTATCGCTGCTTTTTCGCAGAACAAAAAATTATTGCTTTGATGTATAAATTATATACAATGTGGTTAACGTTAAACGGAATTTGTTTATCTTAATAACATTTTCTGCGAATAGAGAACGCTTATCTAGTTTGTCGTAACAATAACAGTCACTCAACAAGTGCAATATTACGCGTTTCGTCAAGTATAATTGGTCACAGTGGGATTAGACATCGGTAGTGTTACAAACATACGGGAGCCTTGTATAAAATTCCATAAACGAAGTTTTTTTTTCGCCAATCATTCGCCAATCACTTCGATAGTGGAAACACACGAACTTCAAACCTCGATAACTTTTGAACAAAGCAAGCTATGCTTATACAGTCTGTGCCAAGACATGCCACAAAAGATGCCTACAAGAAAATAGGAAAAGATTTTTAGTATTAATATAAAAATAATAAAAAAAGGTTTGTTTTTTTAAAACATTTGAAGAGTTTTAATTGGTATCCTTTCGATCCCATTTGTTTTTATGTGCAACCCATACTGTTATCAACAAAGACTAAAAATTGTCTCTATTTTTTTGTGGAACAGGCGTTGTATCGGCACAGACTTTATCGAGGTTTGAAGTTCGTGTGTTTTTACTATCGAAAGTGATTGGCGAATGATCGGCGAAAAAAAACATCGTTTATGGAATTTTATACTGTGACTTCCATAAATATTGCACCACTCATGAGAAAGAGTCTTGACCTGTGATTTCTCTCAACGCAATAGTTGCAATG